AATCAAACAGGATAATCTTTAAATATGTAACTAAGTACCAGGACAAGTTTTCAGAAGAGATGTCAATTAGCTTTCAGCTACTGGAGTCGCAGCGTGTATTACAGCATAAATAGCATTTTGTGCTAATATAATGCATAATATCTCCACATGATAGAATTTAAGGAAAAAAAAAAAAATTAGAATACTTCGCGAAAAAATTGTTATAACTAAGTAAACAAACTACCATAATGGTCAAATACCTTGTTGTTGCCAGGCAACGACCAGATGGAGAGAAATAAGCAGATTGTACAGATCGTGTATGCTTGACAGTCCACATAGCTTTGCGATCAGGAAGTTTATCCTCCATTTTAACTTTCATATTTCTAAGATCCCATAGACAAGCAAAACCATCCGTAGAACTAGTTGCCATGAAATTGGTGTTTGATGGGCTAAAGTCAATGGAGTTTACCCTTGCCTGATGTAAGGGCCAAGAGGCCGAAATCTCCCCTACTCTTACATCAAACATATTTAGACCCCCTGGACCTTCAGCAAAATAAACAGTATTCACATCCTGTGGCTGTTGTGCAAGTGAATAAAAAGCAGACCCATCAACACTCGAGCATACAAGTTCAAACTTCTCCCTCTCAATGTTGACATCCGTAGAAACCCATCATAACAGCTAGAGTATACCTGCACACAAACTTACATCATTACCAAATCAACAAATTAAATGAAGAAAACTCAATTGAAATACAGAATTAGAGAATGATAAAAATCATCCCAAAGATCTGTCAAAAGTCAAAGGTTCAAGCTTCAAACATAAAAGTAAACAATTTCAACATGAAATCATTTTATTGAAGCATAAATATAAATTTCATGTTGAAAATTTATACCTCTACTAGAAACAATTGCACAAAAATTTCAGAAGTTGGTTAACCTACATCCATGGTGTCCGCAGACAGGGTTCAAACTAAATCCCTTATAGATAGATAATGTTTAAGGATGAGAAGGGAAAAAATATAATAAACCATTACAAAACAGACAGCGTTTAAACACTGATAAAGTTGAAGATCCCAGATCACATAATAAATATGAATATCTGTCTTTAAGTACCAACATAAGCTTAGCAAAAAAAAATTCAATTCCAATAAACCTTCAAAGGTAAAAAGCCTACAAACTAGTTGAAAAAACATAATATATAACTGGTTGAAAAAAATGAGTAAAACATTTTATGGCCAAAAATATTATGATTTAAACTTTCAATCAAGCATGAAAAAGGGATTGCTGGAAATCACAAAAGACTGACGACTGACAGTTATCATACAAATTATACAAGATAACGATGACCATTAACATATAATCCAAATAAAAATACATTAATGCCAAGTGATCACCTTTGATAGAGCAAAAGGGTGCACAGAAATCCCAGAAATAGGAGCCAAGTGTGGTTTGTAAAGATGAATCACATCTTCTTCCTCCCCCTTTTGTGGTTTAACATCCCAAAATCCCAATTGCCCATGCTTGTTCCCTACAGCAGCCATAGTCATCTCTGTTGTCGGAAAGAACTGAACAGAAAATATCCTCCCTGGCACGACACGTGCTATGTTATCATATTTTAACTTAAGCGAGAGTGGAGCAAAAGGCTCCTCCAGCTTAACCCTTTCAAACTTTGTGGCAGACTGTGAATAGTCATCCTCATATTCTAATTTTATCTTCCTGGCAGACTGTGAATGCTCATCCCCATCTTCAGATTTGATCTTTCTTGCAGACTGTGAATGGTCATCCCCGTCTTCTAATTTTATCTTTCTGGCACACTGTGTATGGTCATCCTCATTTTCTGATTTTGTCTTTCTTGTAAGTCTAGTGAGTTTTTTTTACCAAAGCCAGGTGTGAACCTTTCCCCTCATAGGCTTGTTCCATACTAGGAGACTCCACAGGCACGGAATTTGATTCCGGCGACCTGGATAGCCAAGAGGATATAGCAGGTGAATCAACTGAACCTTCAGATAGACCAGACAAATCAGGAGGCTTTCCTTGAGTGCGTAGGGAACGACGAATCACAACTGGAGTACTATCAGGCTTGGGCTTCTTTTCTGAGCTCTGCTTGTATGACTTTTCCTCCCTGTGATATATGCCATTTCACATATTAATACCTATACAACCTCACAAACTCCTAATTACCCCCAACCCATAACCCAACTAGAGAAACTTTGACTAGTATTTCATTAATACTTCTATAATTCAATTGCTTGCAATAGTGAGTATATTGAGTAAGTATTTGTATTTCACTTAGATTTAATTTCAACTTAAAACAACTAAAAATAAACTCCCTCTGACCTCCGCTGCTAATAAATATGTCACATTTACAATTACGATTGTAACAATTAAAAAAAGTATTACACTTGATTTAGGGCTGAAGGAAATACATAACATCTCTATTAATCCAACTATCACAGAAATATTATACTATCAAAAACAGAATTAATGAACATCAATTCGAAAAGAAGTCCAATCAACAAAGCCGAAAATAATAGCAATTTCAAGTTGAATAAACATGTTTCTGGGTGTAGTAGCAAATTAGCCCCAACACTTTTATTGCAGGTGTAAAGTAACCCCATAACTTTTACTTGTAACAAATTAACCCCATAACTTAATATAATTGTGCAATCAAAACCTATACATCAAATTTGAGCAAAATCACATTAAAATATATAAATTTCATAAAATATACTCCAATAAAAGACGAAAAAAAGTTAAAAAAATTAATTACATCCAAAATATTGTGCATATACATTATCATACATATTAAATACATACTATAAAATATAGAAATTATCGACACTGAAATATGACAAAGGGCGAAAAAATTAACGGAATTTAGCAAACCATCATACTTGATTAATCTCTTCAATTGCTCACATTTAATTGAAATGGTAAGAAATATAACGCATGTATAATACTCTTAATGCTTATTATTAATACAAAAAATTAGCATGTTTTGATGAATTTATTGTTAAATAATGATGCTCTAATGTACGTTGCACGATATGTTAAGTTATGGGGTCCATTTGCTATAATTAAAAGTTAAGGGGGTAATTTGAACATAGAGTTAAAGTCTTGGTGCTAATTTGCTGTATTTCCCTTTGTTCAATAATTCTCCTTTCAATTAAACTGAAAATGGCATCAATTTCTCTCGCTGAAAATTCAAATTAAACTACGGAGTACAAATTTCACCGAAAAGCATAAAAACAGAAAAACCAAATAAATCAACAGATAAAATGGCAGTAACAAAAAAGAACTTCAAATTCAACAAAACCAAAAATAACCGAAATTTCAAATTCAGTAAACGTCGTTGCAATTACTGAATAATACACCAACTTTCCTCACTCTTTATTCAAATTAAAAGACAAAAATTCATGAAATAGCATAAATTCAAACAAATTAACAGAAAAGGCAATGAATTAAAAATGGAAGGAGAGAGAAAGACCTAAGACGTTTAGAAACGGCGGACAGATCAACAACGTGAGAGTGAATTTTGAGCGAAGCCATAACTTGGGAGTTGCGCTTGATATTCTCGAGTCTCTTACGTTCGTACTCCGTCATTTCATCGGAATCCGCCATTGCCGCCGGCGAGGAGAGAGAAAGACAAGGGTTTCAATTTTTGTAAGAATTTTTAGGGTTTTTAAGACTTTGTGCGGTTGGTTATGTGTAAATGTTGTTTTTGCGGGAAAATGCAACTGGCGGGAATTCTTTTTCTTTTTTTTTTTTAATTAAAAAATTAATTAATGATGTTGGGATATTTGATTAAGGACATACGTGGATGGGTCAGTTGCCATACGTGTGGAGCTTACTCACTAGTTTACATATCATACATTACCTTTTGCCTTCTTTGATGTTACTAATGTAATGTATGTTGTGTTTTAATTAAGGAAGTTCTAGTTTATTAGAGTATATCCAACAATTTAACCAACCACAACAAACAACAATAATAAGAGTTTATCTATTAAGGAAATCATTGAGAAAATGTCCCCATATAATAGAGTTTGATCCAGCAATTATAACTCACAAATCGTAGCAGCAAAGAACAATCACACTATTAAAGATGAAGCCTTGATGTTCCGAACATGTGGTTAAAGTTGGACCAAATCAGATCATGAATGAGTTCGATCGAAAGTGTTTTTATAGGATTGTACATTGAAAAACGTGAAGTACCTGCACTTTGAAAACCCTATGCGTTTATCTTCTTCTCTCACCAATTTTTACCTCATCTTAATCTCACTATACTGTCTACAAGTGAGCCAACAATGACTTTATGTTGCCCATCCAATTTCACGGCAAAAGTCAAAGTAAATAAAGTACATTTGGGTATAGGGCCTGTTCTCTTCAGATTATTTTCAGTTCAGTTCAGCTCCAATCAGTTTAGTTCAGTTTTTAATTTTCTTCTCTCATAAAATATTCAGTTCAGTTTAGCTCAGCTCCAATAAGTTCTATTCAGTTTTTAATTTCCTTTTCTCATAAAATATTCAGTTCAGTTCAATTGAGTCAATCAAAACAGACTCTAAGTATACTATTTGTCCCAAAAAAGTCACCAATTAGAATGGGCTTCTTCATAGAAGAAAGGACCCATAACCCAACACGCATAAATAAAGAAATTGAAAACAGTATACCACCTCCACTTCCAATTAATCCTACGAGGAACACACCTGTTCCCTCCATCTTAATTTCAGTTCTCTTCAATTTCTAATTTCCTTCCCTCATAAACAATTCAGTTTAGTTCAGTAAATCAGAACAGAACCTTAGAGTTTTACACAATTACACCGTATTATTTGCACGCAAACTAACAACGCACAAGAGTAAAAAGGTTAATAGAATGAGACTAGTAGAGTAAGGACGTTTTTTTTCAGCTTATTTTCAATTCAGTTCAGCTCTAATAAGTTCAGTTTAGTTCATGGTTAAAATCTAGTTAGAACCAGAACTAGTCCTTCATGGTTTATCCACAATGAAGTCGTCTACACCCCGAAATCCCTTAGAATCCACAAACAATCGAAACTAAACGAATGAATAAGATTCACAATCACAATGTCATGTACACTAATAAACTTCAAAATAACATGTGGCCCCACCTCAGAAACCAGAGGAAATGCGAGTGTTCGAAAGCAAGTTCTGGAAAAACTCGACAATGAATTAGCCAAAGGCGATGAAAGAGCCGCTCTTTCTCTTGTCAAGCAGTCCCTTACCCAACCTGGTGCCCTCCGTTGCTTCGGCGCTGCTCGCCAGGTTCTTCTTTTTCTCTCTCTTATTCAATTTTATGACTTTTTATTATAATATTCCATCATACCCCTTTTCATATGAATTCAATTCAGTATTACCCTTTTGTAAATTATGCTATTTCTTTTATTGGGTATTCTCTAAATTTTGATTTTTATATGAATTTTTACAGAATTGATTTCCGGTGAAGATGTTGATTATTTCATTTAATTAAACTTCATTTTTGGTATCATTTTGTAAGTAGAATGATCTGATTGGTTTATGAGATTGATATGCAAAACAAATTATGTGACCCTATATTTTACAACTATAATTGTATATATGTGTTAATTGTACGAAGTATAATTTTAAAAGATTGAATTCTGTCCATTAAAAAAAGGGATTGTATTTTCAATCATCTTGGTGTATATATAAAGTTTTTACTTGATTTATATAAAGTGAACATCTTTGAGGTGAATTGGATGGAGCTGCTCTACATGATTAACTAAAGATGAAATTGCAAAACATTTGTGTTTCCAATTTGGCCTCAGACTTTGTAGGTTGAATTCCTGATAATAAAATATATAGATGAAGATTAATGATAGATTTTAATGTTCCATCAACATAGAGTTTGTTAGTTTGGTTTGATTTTGTCTGATGGGTGTAATTGAGATATGTATTGGATACGTGCATTAGTTTCAAAGTTTTGAGCATGTGAATCTTTGTGCCGAGCTTCAGTAACCCGTGTGGCCTATGTCCGACTCTTGACATGATACATTGGACAAGGGTGTGAGGGTTTGAAGCGTGGAACAATGAATTTGATCAATGTTATGGACTGCTTTCTGGACATTAGGACTTGTTTGGATCCCTACACATACATGATCATTGTCTCAAAGTCAAGATGTTGTGGATTTGGACTTTAGTATTGTGTTATTAAGTGGAAGTGTGATGTGCAGTGCAGGTGCCTCAGAGACTCTATACTTTGGATGAATTGAAGCTGAATGGAATTGAAGCTGCTTCTCTCTTATCACCTGTGGATACGACTCTTGGTTCAATTGAAAGGAACCTGCAGATTGCTGCTGTTTTAGGTGGTGTTGCTGCTTGGAACGCCTTTGAACTTAACCCCCAGCAACTCTTTTACATCTCTTTGGGATTGTTATTCTTCTGGACATTGGACTTGGTAACCATTTTTTTTTTTTTTTTTTATTTTTATTTTTTTTTTTTGTCAAACTTGAGAATTTTATTTCTTATATTAATGGAATAATGGTAGAGGCTCCTGAAAAAGATTATTCTTGGACTGAGTCACTGCATTAAGTTTTTGTGCTTAGAGAAATGCTTTGAATCATTTAAACGATGTGCTAATCTGTGGCTTCTAACAGATTTCTTTTGGTGGAGGAATTGCCGGTTTGGCTCTTGATACAATTGGTCATACCATCAGTCAAAAGTACCACAACCGGGTTATTCAAGTAAGTACATAGATTATTATCTCGTTTCCTGGAGCTAATATGTATAGTCTTATTGGATACATTATCTTTTAGATGTATATATATGGTAGATGTTTCCTTATAGGATGGCATTTTGCTTCATACATTAAGTGTTTGCTATCCCTGAGCTGACCAGAAGATCAATTTTCAACTGCAGCATGAAGCTGGGCACTTTTTAATTGCCTATTTGCTTGGCATCCTTCCAAAGAGTTATACTCTTTCGAGTTTAGAAGCTTTGAGCAAAGAAGGGTCTCTCAATGTTCAAGCAGGAACAAATTTTGTTGACTTTGAGTTCGTCGAAGAAGTAAGTTATTCTCTATGACCTGTTGAGTTCTCTTTCCTTTAACACTCCCTCTGGACTATCATGTCTTATCTTGTCCAACTTGCTTATGCTTTGGTGCATTTGAAGGTCTTTTCCTTGCTTATTTGCGATGAGCTTTGTTTGCTTGAATGTGAAATTCTGAATCAATTTGTGACTGTAATTTGCAGACCAACGCAGGGAAAATGTCATCTACGGTATGATCTCTTCTTGGTGCAAGCTTTTATGAGGCTCCCTTTTCTGGAGAAACCTCATGTTAATTAACAGGAAACTTTTAATGATCATGGCAGTATTATGTCTTTGATTAGATGCTGAACAGATTCTCATGTATAGCATTGGCTGGTGTAGCAACAGAGTACTTATTATACGGATATGCTGAAGGAGGTTTAGCTGATATTAACAAGGTTCATCCTACTTATCTATCTGGCCATTACATTGATTTAATCATCATGTCTTAGATTCTTAGTTGTTCCTCGATTGCCCTTAAAAGCCTTCCCCCCCCCCCCCCCTTAGTGTAAAATAACTATTATGCATCTGTCATTCCTTCACGAACACAGTAAAATTCTGTTAGCCTACATTAAACTGGTCTTTTTAGCCTAAATCAAAGTAACTCATAAACCTTGATTTCATTGTGCTATTGGGTTTCATATCTGTATTTTCCTAATATTTGAATTGTTTTTCCTTATCAAAGTTGGATGGCTTGCTCAAGAGCTTGGGGTTCACACAGAAGAAAGCGGATTCACAGTTGAGGTGGGCAGTCTTGAATACTATCCTTCTCTTACGCCGCCATGAAGAAGCTCGAGCAAAACTTGCTGATGCCATGTCTAAGGGGATGTCTGTTGGCTCTTGCATCAATGTTATCGAGGAAGCTGTTGATGATGAAGACTTGGCCCAAAATCAGTGACTTTGTGCGTACTTTGTGGCTCTAAGATTTGGCATACACTTGGAAATTGCGGGTTGCATGCAGTTACATTAGCATTCTTCATGCCCAGCAAATTCTTTCCTGTGAATTGTAATGGTATTTTCATTAAAACTTATCATATGATATATTTTCCTCTCTAACATATAAAAAGAAAATTGTTGTCATCAAAAAGCATACACACTTTCTTCATTTTCTCTTCCCCTCATCATTGATGAATCAATCTTATTTGGTAGTTAGTTCATGTTTCATCACTTACTCTCCTAAATACATGATAGAGCTCTTGCCATGTCTCTCATTTTATATATTCATATTTCCCATTGATTGTTTTGCATCCGAAATTGTGTTTTTGTTGTAAAAGCTATTTGGATTCAATGGTGAGATCAAGGGCTCAAGTAATTTCAATGATAATTATGATTGCTGCTACAATTTGCAATGGTGATCGTGGTGCTCTTGAACTCGAGACAGAGGTAATAATCTATAATTTTATAGGTGAGGGAATTGACCTTACTTTACACTGCAAATCCGGGGATGTTGATCTTGGAGAAAAAGTGGTTCATTTTACAGAGTCATGGTATTTTACATTTTCTACGAATATATGGAGAAAAACATTTTTCTATTGTAGTTTCAAGTGGGCAGATGAGGAAACTAAGTGGTTTAATATATATTTTAACGATAGAGATGTGAGGGTTTGTGGGATGCATTGCCCGTGGTATATTTTACCTACTGGCCCTTGCCTATTTGCACGCGTTGTTTATATATGTTACCCTTGGAATACTCTTAATTTTCCGTCTTCTTTAGGACCCTCATCGATGTAATTTCAAGGGTGACCTATTGGCTATTAGGAGCAAGATTAATAAGTGTATTTGATCTGATCTATTTAGTTGGTAGTTGGTTCATGTTTCATTAACCTTCTCAAGTTCAGTACTCCTTAATATATATTGACCTAATACGACGTCCATCATTTGTTTAATATATCTTCATGTTTCCATTGATTTCTTTCTTTCCATATATTTTTTTTTAAATACTTAGATTCAATGAAGACATTAAGGGCTCAAGTATTGACCCTAATTTTAATAAGTTTTACTGCATCGACTTGCAATGGTGATGGCAATGCTTTTGATCCCAAGATACATGTAACAATCTTCAACTATATAGGTGAGGGAAAGGACCTTACTTTACACTGCAAATCGAGTGACGATGATCTTGGTGAGCAAGTGATTGGATACAAGGAGGCATGGGAATTTTCTTTTTACGTTAATTTTTGGGGAACAACCTTGTTCTATTGTAGTTTCAAATGGGGAGACGAGGAAGTTAAATGGGTGATATATATGTTTTCGCAAGAGATTTTGAAGTGTGTGAGACGGTATGTACGTGGTACATTCTTCCTATTATACCTTGCTTAGCTGCAGGCGATACTTTTAGATGTTACCCTTGGAGTACTTATAGTTCTTTGCTTTCTTTAGGTCCCTCGTCCATGTAATTTCAAGATGATTTCTTGGAAATAATTTTAGGAGTAAGCTATTAATAAATACGAAGTACTAGGAAGTGTAATTGATCAACTTTTGGAAAGAAATGGATTGATGGTATTGCCAAAAAGGTGGCCAATGGATTATTTTCAGAATGAATTATTAAGTATAGTGGAATATGATGTTAATCTTTATAGTCTATACTAGTCGATCTTTTACATCATAGACCCTCATGAACATGAAAAAGTACAATTGTATAACGAGCCAGCCAAATTTTATCAACGAGAAAACCAAAAAATGCAAATTAAGTGTGATTTGTAAATACGTTTACTTCATCTGTCAACATAACGATTTCGTAATAAAATTTATAAGTGTGGGACCAACAATAATTATTGAAAAATTGTTGATATTATCATGTAATTGCTATTTGATTTACATTCTAAGTTTATCTAGGTGATAAATTTGTTACGGTGCTCTCGGATTGCCCACAAGAGTCCTCCTTCCCTAATGTCACCCTGATCGAGGATGTTATTGATAATGAAAACTTAGCATGGTACAAAATCTGTTACTTATGCTTAATTTGTGGCACTAAACTTAGGCATATGCTAGGAAATTGTGGATTATGCATACGTTTATATAACCCTAGGCAGCCTTCATGGTATTTTCTTTAGAATTAAAACCATCCATATCAAACAAAACTTTAGTTAAGAAAAAAAAACATGCATGCTTTTTAATTTTTTTTTCTTTTCCCATCATTGATTCATTGATGTGATGATTCAATCATTTTTTGGTAGTTGGTTCATGTTTCATAAACCTTAACTTCCCAACATGAGTACTCTCCTTAAAATGAAGTATTTGATTCAATCGTTTTCCTTCATGTTTCCATTATATTGATTTCTTTACTTCCACAATCATATTTATTCATTCTACTAAAAAAAAACACTTGGATTCAATGGTGAGACCTAGGGCTCAAGTATTCTCTTTATTTGCAACGATTTTCGTTGCATCAACTTGCAACGGTGCTCATGATGAATTTTATTTCAAAACAGTTGTAACAATCTTTAATTATATACGTTTAGGAGGCCAAGGAGTTGACCTTACTATCCACTGCAAATCTAGAGATGATGATCTTGGTGAGCAAGTGCTTCATTATCAAGATGCATGGCATTTTGAATTTTATACTAATTTTTGGGGAACAACGTTGTTCTATTGTAGTTTCAAATGGAAAGATGCGGAAGTTAGATGGTTTGATATATATGTAAATGAAAGAGATGCTGAAGTATGTGGGTTGGTTTGTTGGTGGTACATTTTTCCAAATCGACCTTGTGTAGTTACACCCGGTGCTTTAACTTGTTACGCATGGAAAGGTTATGATTCTCCACTTTCTATAGGTCCCTCGTCAATGTAATGTTAACATGGCAACTCTTTATGAATAAGATATACAAATAAGTAATAAATATATTTCATCTCTATGCAAAAGCCATTGTAAAAGATGTGAATTAATGATAAAAGGAGGACAATCATTCCAAATTTTAATGCAATAATTGTTATTTTTCTCTTCTTGATACATGGTTTATACAGAACGTGCTTAAATTATTCCTACCCCCATTCGTTATATCAAAATTATTGTAACTATATATTTTGGTGTCAAAACTCAAAAGGTAATTTAGTGACCTGAAATTATGGTATTGTACGCGACGTACCGTATTGTCTTATTGTTCTTCCTTCCAATTTTCCTTAAGCAAAGATAAATTAGATGTTATAATAAACATTAGTAACTTATCAATACAAGAGATAAAATCACTTTTACTATCTAATTTAAGTAAGCATTTTTGAACCTGAACTCAAGTATTTCAATTTTTGAACAACCTCATATATTACCATAAGATTTATATGAAAAATATATCACAATTATCATATTTAGCACTTGCGGGTGGCATACATTTACGTTATGCAGCCTTCGTCCTGTGGAAGTTAAAAGATGTTACATTTCGGGAAAATATTTCTTTTTGTATTTTTCTCATATATTTTCCCCAATCATAATATTTGACCATATTACAATATACAATTATATAGACAATATAAAAATCTAATCCTAATTCCTAATATTCCCAAAAATATGTTAAAACTTCTTACATCTATCACAACAGATCACAATTCACAATAATATCTCATATGATATTAACATAATATCACATCAACCATTCATTCCTATATCAATAAAAGGCAATCATATACATACGATTATATATTTTCCTCCCATCCAATATATTAAAGATAAATTAAGAAGACATGGTTTTTTCATTCTCTCTCCCCATCATTAATATGAAGAATCAATCATCTTTGGTAGTTAGTTCATGCATGTTTCATAAACCTTGGCTTCCAACATGAGTTCTTTAATATATAGACCTCACTTTTATTTATTTCATCCATATTTCCATTGGTTTTTTTTGCTTCCAAAATTATATACACTTAAATAATGGTGAAAGCAAGAGCCCAAGTATTATTCTCCTTAATTACTCTACTTGTTTTAATTGCATCAACTTGCAATGGCGTCCATACACATGTAACCATCTTTAATTATCTAGGCGAGGGAATCGAACTTACTTTACACTGCAAATCTGAGGACGATGATCTTGGTGAGCAAGTGCTTAATTATCAAGAAGCATGGCAATTTTCATTTCGTAGTGATTGGTGGGGAAGAACGTTGTACTATTGTAGCTTCAAATGGGCAAACGAGGAAGTTAAGTGGTTCGATATATATGTTGGTGATAGAGATGCACAAGTATGTGGGTTTGTTTGTTGGTGGTATATCTATTCAAATTGGCCTTGTCTAGTTAGACCTGATTATTTTAAATGTTACCCTTGGAAAAATGATAGTCGTTCTCCACTTTCTTTAGGTCCCTAGCTCATCGATTTAGTTTTAAGTCCTTTTTAATTCATCGACAACTATTTTAGGAATAACCGTAATAATAAAATTAAATAAATGGATTTGAGTATTTATTGATTTGTGATATCAAGACAGTTATAACTTCTTTGATTATTTGAGTGAGTGAATAATTTAGTGATGATTGATTTTGGTGAGAAAGTGTTTCATTTTCCAGGTCCATGGTCTATTTTTTATTTCAAGGTAATTTTGGAGAACAATATTGTTCTATTGTAATTTCAAATGGGAATACAAAAATGTTTTTAATATACGAATTGAGGTACATGTTTTTGGACGATGAAGTTTGTGGGTCGATTGATTTGTTGGTGTTACATTTTTTCAACTAGACCTCGCTTAGCTAGTTACACACTTACACCTAATGATTTAACATGTTACATATTCTTGGAGAGGTTATAGTTCTCCATTTTCTATAGGTTACTCATGGATGTAGTTTTTACTTGACAATTGTTTTAGAAATATGTTTAATTTGATAAATAATAAATGTATGTATTTTAATTTGAATTCTGGTTATTTGAACGAAAACTATAATGAATGTCTAGTCAAATTGTGTTATTAATTCTTATTGCATTGGTACATTAGGTATTTTTTTCCCCTTTTATTACTAATAAGCTTAGTAGTAGGTTGCTCATGTTTCATAAACCTTTAACTTAACCAACATGAGTACTTACGTCTCAACCTATTATATACACCTCCCTTCTTTTTTTATATTCAAATTTCCTTTGATTTCTTCTTCTAAATTCATGTTTATTTTAGCAAAAAAATATAATACATACTTCGATTTGATGGTTAATTTGAGGGATCAAGTATTTTCTTTAATCACCACGATTTTAGTTACATCAAGTACTTGCAATGAAAATCCCATTTTTAAAGAACCCAAGACAACAGTAAGTATCTTTAATTACATAGGTCAGGGAATGGACCTAACGGTACACTGCAAATCAAAGGACGATGATCTTGGCGAGCAAGCGATTCAGTATCAAGATTCATGGTATTTTTCGTTTCGTAGAAATATATGGGGAACAACGTTGTTCTATTGTAGTTTCTACTGGGAATTATGGGGAACTAGGTGGTTTGATATATTTGTTGATGAAAGAGATGCTCATGTATGTGGGTTTGTTTGTTATTGGTACATTTTTACAAGTGAACCTTGCCTACTTGAACCTAATTTCTATGAATGCTTTGATTGGAATGATGATCGATTATCTCCCCTCTCTTTAGGTCCTTCATCGATGTAGCTTTAACTTGGCTATTGTTTTAATAATAAGCTTAATAAATCATCAATAATCAATCATCAATAATCAATAACTATATACTAAAAGATACACCAGCAATGACACGTGTCATCTCCTGGTGTGTCCTTAGTTATTTCTATTTTATTTTTTTTTCAAAATTTAATTATAGTATAAAATCTTATACAAAAATAATTTCGTATATGACCTAATAACAAAGATATTACTATAAATATAAAAGAATTGATATACCTTTCCACACAAACATTATTTATGATTATAGTAGAAAATATTATCATAATTTGGGACATATTTTAGTTACTTTAAGGGAATATTCATATTTTTTCCGTAATAAAAATAGTGGTTCATCTGTTTATTAGAATTCACATCAGAGTAGTGTGTACATTTTTTTTAGAATTTTTAAATTTTTTGTAAAATAACCAGTTATATTTAAAAGTTAATATTTTTCTTTAAAAATATAATTACCGTGTGCGGCACGGGACCTAAACTAGTTATAAGTAAATGTATTTGATTCGGGGTTGTTTAATACATTTCTTCTTCAAAAAAAATAATCTAATAAAAATTCAAGTATCCAACTATATACAATAATATTTTATAATGCAAGAGCATACATTATGCATTCATACTACATTCTGATTGATTTTGAATGTATGTTTAAAATTTAAACAAATGGGGTATAACTTATATTACTCCCTCCGTGTTTTTTTAAGTGTTACAGTTTGACCGGCACATAGTTTTAGGCAACTTAATTGACTTAAATAAAATAAAATAAGAGGTAAGTGGGGTAGTTGGAGTATTAAAAAATTGTAAAAGAAAGATAGTGGGGTGATGAATAGTTTAATGAAAATTAATTAATGTGAGAGGAAAAATATAATACTCCCTCCGTTTCTTTTTACTCGCAACAATTACCATATTTGGACGGTACACATTACTTGCAACAAAGAAAATTCTTTCCTTTTATGGTATTTTTTAATGGTGAAATGAATATTTTACCCTTACTTATTTTTGAAACTTTTTTTAATTATCCCTAAACACTACTTATCTAACTTATAATCTAATTCACTTAACCTAATCTAATCTAACCATTCCCACCAAAAATTACCCACCTCTTTTTGATTTCATTAGAAATCATTCAACTCCTCAACTCCTCAACTCCTCAACTACCAGAATTGAATGAAGATCATTCAATTTTCCTCGTTGCTGGTGCCCAGACTCTCCTTATTCTGGAGAATTCTCCAGATGAACATTATAAACCCTAGATCTACTCCATTTCCCTCCTTTCTCTCTCATCTTCGTACTCTGTTCTCTCTCTTCAATATCCTGAGTGAAACCCTAGTTCTCTCTGATCCATTTTCTGTGAAAATGAGTTCCAAAAAAGCAAAGAAAGAGTCCCTAATTCGTCCTAAAAAGGGTGAGGAATCCACTATGTACATCGCTCGTAGGGGATCTGGTGTTATGAAACCAGTTCGTCGCTGTTCTTCTTCGTTTTCTCGGTACTCTTGAGGCAAAATTGTCCACTTCCAGCGACGAGGAGGAAATTCTAGAAGTAGATCCGATGCAGACCGTCCCTGTTCTGGCGCCGGTGGTTGCTGAACTACCTCCTCCTGCTGTTGAAGTTGTCGCTGCCGAGAAAAGCTCGAAGGAGAGCCCATAAAATGTTGCCTCGGACAAGATGGAGACGCCTGAGAAGGTTTCAGGCGACGGTGCATCTCCTCGGGGATAGAAGAGGCCTAGATCTGTCTGGAAGGAGGACTACAGTGACTGGGATCCCTGCTACATGGCGTATTTGAGGGACAAGTACCCTCATGACTTCCCCCCAGATCTCTGAGCATGCAGCGTAACTATTACTAAACCCTAATTTTATGATTTTTGCCTAAATATGAGTCCCTTAGACTGATTTTTGGTTGTGATTTTCATTTTGTGTTTGATATTGTTGGATAAAACTGTTGATTGTTGGTTTTTTGTGTAAAAAAGAAACATTTGTGGGTGTTTTTTCCTGTAATTATGTTGGCTATGGTTGATGGTTGTACTTCTTGACTTGAATTTGTTGATTTGGTATTGCGAGTGTTGGTGATTGTGGTTATAATTTGGGGGTCGGTGTTGCCTCCTGTGCTTTTGCTGGTTGAAATTGTTGCTTTGGGTTAGGGAAATTTGTTGTTGTTGTTATATATGTGGGCACTTGACTTCAATTCATTGCCCGCCTATTGTTTGGTTATATTGCGAGCATGATTTTTGGTTGGGCTGCTTATGGTTCCTGTGATTTTGCTTGGGTTGTGTGGTTTTATTTTCAGCATGGTATATGAATGGGCTGTTGTGGGTTGGTTATTGTTGATATGAGTCTATAGTCATGCAACTTGGAGATGTTTTGATGTATGGGTGATGAGCATAAAAGTTGTGATTTAGCCTTTGGAATACTCTGGTTTGATGTGTGTTGATGTTGTTGCCTATGAGTCCCCACTGTTTGAGTGAGTCCCTTTTATTGGTTATTTGTGATGATGCATTGAGTCCCTCTACCCACCTTGCATCATAGTTGTAGGGATTTCCAAATGATGAAGGGACTCTTATGACTTGAGCCCATTATTTAAGGAAGCTCCAACATCTTCTAACAGAGGATGTTGTTGAGGTGCCTGTTAATGGTAGCTAATATGGTTAAACCAATCCCATCTGATGGAAAAAAGAGACAGTACAATAACCATGCCATATTTTTAACACACTGTCTACTTGTTAATGCTATCATTTCATTTGCCCAAAAAATGGTAGATTGTACATAATTCCATTTCAATAATAACTACCTACTAAAACTGCCTACCTACTCTATTTAACAAAAGACACCTAATCATTACAAAACAAACAAAAACTTAGTTTTCATGTTAATGGTTATGTGTGGCAGTCTTTGGTCTTCTGACTTGGTTGATGTTGACTTCTTTATTTACAAAAAATTACTTGTTGTCTTCTTCATTTACAAAAAGTTGCACCTTCTTACTTGCTTATGTGAACCTCAATCTGCATCTACTTCCATTTCTTGACTTTCTGGTTGTGGTCCTGTGGTTGGGACAAAAAGGGTGTTGAGATACTGCACTGTGTCTGCAATTAGAGTTATGTCTACCTTCAAAATTTCCTCCAAAGTCCCTTGCCTGTCTTGCCTTGATTTTCCCATGTGTGGTGGATTGAAGTTGTTCCCACCTTGTTTTTCCAACACCTTAATCATGCAAGCCTGTAGTGTGATCCAAGTGTACCTGTTTAGTGTAGGATCAAACACCTCAAATGCCTCTGCCACTTTCTCAATTAGCTCATCAATATTTGTTGAGAATGACTGGTATTGTATGGACTGAATTGCCTTGAACAAACCTAGGTCCAACACATTAAGGTCTGGTGATTGTGCAGGTTGGAAAACAAATTGAATGTTAAACCCATTAGCTTGTGTTGCTGCCAAAAACTTTTCATCTGATGGTACTTGATGTGGCCTAGTATTATCCCATTGTATGATTATATTCTTTGATAATTGTGATGGCCATTGTGCATGAATTGTTGGAATGTTTTTGACTAAAATCATGTGCCTAATAGCTTCTCTGTTCACATTCTGAATTGCTTTAGTCTCCATTGTTCCTGCTTCTCTGTTTTTGCTTTTCTTTTTTGCCCTCTCATGTTTCACAAAAGGGGATAAACCATACTTCCCTGAGTGTATCAGAGTCCCATTTGCAGCATAAAGTGGTTTGCCCACCATTCCCATGAACATTGCCTTTATCTTAAACCTTTTAGACTGGTGTGCTATGTATGGGACCTCTTCATTTGGTGTGAGATAGAAAGTCCTTGTCTCTGGGTTCAGGTAGAACCACTTCTCATCAATGTGTATGTGATGTTGCATATCCATAATTGTAGGGTCCCCCTCACTTGGAATTGGATGAATGTGTTGCAGTACCCATTTTAGCCTTGCAACTTTGTGATTATCTGATAATGCTGGGTGATTAGTTGCTGACACTGCCCTAAGTCTGCCCCTTTTCTTCAACCTGTGTATCACCACATGACTGACATTTAGAGCAGCACCATACTTCTGTTTGTGGTTCTCTTGTAAAGTGGCACAGACACAAGCCACTCATCAGAGTATTCAAAAGGCTTGCGACCAGTTTTCCCTAACTTCTTGGTTCTGACATCCACTGCTTCTCCCAGTTGCATGTGTGTTTTGATTTCTTTTAGCCACCTGCATGTAGTAGATCTGTGTACATGATGTTTCTTTGCCAATGAGGTCAGCATTCCTCTAGGCAGTGTGTCACCTACCATATTAAGCAGAATATCATTAACAATCTGCCTTTTCTCTTGAATGTTTAATTCTCTGCTTTGCCTCACAAATATTTGTTGCTGATTTTCTTGCTCTGTATCTGTTACTGATTCTGCTGATGAATTGTCTTCATTTTGTTGCTGTTTAGTTGGCTCTTGAGTTTCTGACCCTGAACTGCTGGAATTCTCTTCCATCACCATGTCCTGCTCCATGAGCAGTTGGTTTATGTTGAAAAAATCATCCAACATTTCTGCCATGAGTCCCTTTTTTTTTCAGATTTGATGGTAGGTGATGAAGTGGAGGTGACTTGCCTTTTTTTGGGAGCTTTCAGTGGAGCCTAATTCGTGTACAAATTCACTAATGCTGCTACTACTAACACAGCAATTAGGAATTAGGACTAATTACAGTTTATGGTTTTTGTACAAATTAGGATTTGATGGTAGGTGATGAAGTGGAGGTGACTTGCTTTTTTTTGGGGAGCTTTCAGTGGAGCCTAATTCGTGTACAAATTCACTAATGCTGCTACTACTAACACAGCAATTAGGAATTAGGACTAATTACAGTTTATGGTTTTTGTAATTTTGAAACAATTTCGGTTAATTTCTGGGTTGTATCCTCTAACTTCAGCTTTTGATGAATTCTAATTCCCCCCCCCCCCAAAACCCTTCTGTGTTTGAATGTTGATGTATGGTGGTGAATGAAACATGTACTCCTTTTTATAAGGAGCTTTTGTTTGGTAAAATTGGGGTTTTTGCTGCCTTGTGAAATTTATTTGAATGATTTTTAAAATTTCATGAAATTTTGGGGGGGAAATGAAAATTTGGAGGCTAAAATAATTGCCTCCAAAAAACTTCCAACCAATTACGAGAATAAGAGAGGGAAAAAAGAGGAAAAAAAAAACAAGGGCACATGGCCTCCACTAATAAAGGGACCACCTTTTTTCCCCTCCCAATTTAACTCTCCTAATCACATGCCCTTTACTTTAATCTACCCCCTTAAAATCTTTTGCCTAGGAGTCCATTCTTCCCATGTTTGTTGCGAGTAAAAAGAAACGGAGGGAGTAAAAAAAGTAGTAGTGGTTTTGGGTGGGGACCGTGAAAAAAGAAAGATATAATATTTTAATGTAGTTTTTTGCCAAAAAAGGAAGTGTAACACTTAAAAAAACACGGCCAAAAATGGGAAGTGTAATACTTAAAAAAAACACGGAGGGAGTATTACTAATCTAAGTTCTATTGGTAGCGCGACGTTTTTCCCCTCTTTATACTAAGTTTAAGTAGATGGATTTTTTTTTTCCTCAAACAAAAAAAAAAGTAGATGGATTTTTTTATTTAAAAAAAAAAAAAAAAAAAGGTGATGGCGATAAGGCTAGTTGTGAGAAATTAATATTGGCCTGGTAAGCTTGAGAGGTTGTTATATCACACCGTACATCACCCATAAGTATTTATCATCGATCAAAAAGTAACCTTAGGTTAGGGCCTGTTCACATTTACTTAATTTCAGTTCAGTTCAGTTCAGCTCCAATCAGTTCAGTTCAGCTCTTAATTTCCCTCTCTCATAAAATATTCATTTCAACTCAATTCAGTTCAGTTCAGTTCAGTTCCAATCAGTTCAGTTCAGCTCCAATCAGTTTAGTTCAGTTCAGTTCAGCTCAGTTCAGTAAATATGAACAGGCCCTTAGTTAGGTGTACAATACACCCAAGTGTATATAACAAATTCTAAGAAACTTAATCATGACATGATAACACAACTATTTACAGTGATTCAGGTGTTGAAGCTAGTACAATCTCTAATAACTTAATTATGATTATAAAATTAAAGATAATATCAAAGATCCTTGCATGATATTAATAATAATGTTATGATTATATACCATAAAAGTTCATAGATCCAGGGATATAATATCTCTAATAGTTGATTCATATTTCATAAACCTTAATACTTTAACAATATATGTTCGTTTATGAAAATAAAAGGAGAGGTATAGGGATTATGGGGATGGAATCCTGTGTTTGTTTTTAGGGATCAGGATCAGAAAGTTGAGTGGTATATGACAAGGATTAAAGCCCCTCCTCTCTCCTTAGCCCTAAATATCTTAGTAGATATATATTTGACTTTAGTAGATATTTAGTCGATTTTCTGATTCATAGTCTTTTTTAGTCGAATTTGGATGTTTTAAATATATATTTGAAATAACTTAAATGGAAATAAAAGGGAAATTTTTTTTAGTTTCCTACTTCATAGGCTTCGAAAAGTTCTGTTTATTGACCGACTTCTTTCAAAAGAGACAAGAGCCAGTGAATGGTAAACAAAATAATTTAAATTAATTAAATAGAAAAATTTTCTATTCTAGTATATTATGGAACATATATACCAATATGCATGGATTATACCTTTCCTTCCACTTCTAGTTCCTTTGTTAATAGGATCTGGACTTTTATTTTTTCCGATGGCAACAAAAAATCTTCGACGTATATGGGCTTTTTCGAGTATTTTGTTATTAAGTATAGTTATGCTTTTTTTCCATGAAGCTGGCTATTCAACAAATAAATAATGATTCTATTTATCAATATTTATGGTCTTGGACGATTAATAATGATTTTTCTTTAGAATTTGGCTACTTAATAGATCCACTTACTTCTATTATGTCAATGTTAATAACTACTGTTGCAATTCTGGTTCTTATTTATAGTGATAATTATATGTCTCATGATCAAGGATATTTGAGATTTTTTGCGTATATGAGTTTTTTCAATACTTCTATGCTGGGATTAGTTACTAGTTCGAATTTAATCCAAATTTATATTTTTTGGGAATTAGTTGGAATGTGCTCATATCTATTAATAGGTTTTTGGTTCACACGCCCTATTGCCGCAAATGCTTGTCAAAAAGCGTTTGTCACTAATCGTGTAGGAGATTTTGGCTTATTATTAGGAATTTTAGGTTTTTATTGGATAACAAGCAGTTTCGAGTTTCGAGATTTGTTTGAAATATTTAAAAATTTAATTAATAATAACGAGGTGAATTCCTTATTTTGTATTTTATGTGCTTTCTTGTTATTTGCCGGTGCAGTTGCTAAATCGGCCCAATTTCCCCTTCATGTATGGTTACCTGATGCTATGGAGGGGCCTACTCCTATTTCAGCTCTCATCCATGCTGCTACCATGGTCGCCGCGGGAATTTTTTTAGTTGCTCGACTGCTGCCTCTTTTCCTAATTCTACCTTCCATAATGTATGGAATTTCTTTTATAGGTATAATAACAGTACTACTAGGAGGAACCTTAGCTCTTGCTCAAAAAGACATTAAGATAAGTTTAGCTTATTCTACAATGTCTCAGTTGGGTTATATGATGTTAGCTCTAGGTATGGGTTCTTATCGAGCTGCTTTATTTCATTTGATTACTCATGCTTATTCAAAAGCATTATTGTTTTTAGGATCTGGATCTCTTATTCATTCAATGGAAACTGTTGTTGGATATTCTCCGAATAAAAGTCAGAATATGGTTCTTATGGGGGGGTTAACAAAACATGTACCAATTACAAAAACCTCTTTTTTAATAGGTACACTTTCGCTTTGTGGTATTCCGCCTCTTGCTTGTTTTTGGTCCAAAGACGAAATTCTTAATGATAGTTGGATATATTCACCAATTTTTGCAATAATAGCTTATTTCACAGCCGGATTAACCGCTTTTTATATGTTTAGAATCTATTTACTTACGTTTGAAGGGCATTTAAACGCTTTTTTAAAAAATTATAGTGGAAAAAAAAGCAGTTCTTTTTATTCAATATCTTTATGGGGTCAAGAAGGATTGAAAAGCATTAATCAAAAATTTCTTTTATTAACCTTATTAACAATGAATAAGAAGGAAAGGGTTTCTTTTTTTTCGAAAAAACCATATCAAAATCAAATTAATGGAAATTTAAGAAAAATGCTTCGATCTTTTATTACTATTATTGATTTTGACAATAAGAATATTTCTGCCTATCCTCATGAATCCGATAATACTATGTTATTTCCTCTGATTTTATTGATTCTGTTTACTTTCTTCATTGGAATCATAGGAATTCCATTCAATCAAGAAGGAATAGCTTTGGATATATTAACGAAATGGTTAACCTCATCTATGAATCTTTTAGATTCAAATTCCGAAAATTCTGTTGACTCGTATGAATTTTTGATAAATGCAACTTTGTCTGTTAGTATAGCTTTTTTTGGAATATTTATAGCTTTTTTGTTTTATAAACCCGCTTATTCATCGTTAAAAAATTTTGACTTAATTAATTTATTTGATAAAAGAGGGCAAAAAAGAATTTTTGGGGACAAGCTGATAAATATTATATATAATTGGTCTGCTAACCGTGGTTATATCGATGCTTTTTACGCAAAATTTTTAGGGACTTGTTAAACATCGCCCGCGTTTTTCTACATAAAGCCCACATTTTTTAAAAATTTTGACATTATTGCCCTTGTTTTAATTTTTACCGAAAATAAAAATTTTCACTCACCAAAAATGTGGAGCAGGACTGGATCGCCGAGTGAAACCGAAGAGCCCTCAACGTCGGCTAGATGCACCGGAGAGACGCCGTTGACGCCGGAAAAGGAGGTACGAAGCCATCTAAAACCACGAATTGGCGGCTGGCGTCCTGCCGGGACGCCGTGAACGTAGTGGTGGCGCCTAGCCAGGACGCCGCCACCGTGGCGATGGCGCCTGGCCAGGACGCCGCCACCGTGGCATCGGCGTCTGGCCAAGACGCCGCCACCATGAAAGCGGCGTCCTGGCCAGGCGCCATCGCCACGGTGGCGGCGTCCTGGCTAGACGCCATCGCCACGGTGGCGGCGTCCTGGCTAGGCGCCACTGCATTTATTTATTTTTTTTTTTTTAAATTTAATTTAAAATTTGTTTTTTTTATTTTTTTTTTTTGTGTTAAAATTTTTTTTCGTTTTTTTTTTGTTTTATTTTGTTTTGTTTTTAATTGTTTTAAAATGTAATGTAAATTTTTGTGTTTGATTTTTGTGTTTTTGATCGCTATGTTTTTTATGTTTATGTTTTTTTTTTGTTTTTTTTTTTTATTTAATCTAAAGTTTTGTTTATGTTTTTTATTTTTGTGTTTTGTTTTTTTTTTTTTTTTGAATACTTTTTGTTTATGTTTTTTATTTCTTTGTTTGTTGTTTATATTTTATTATTGTTTTTGCTTTTGTGCTAATGTTGTGTCAAATGTATTAATTTAATCTAATCTTATGTGATTATATTTATATGTT